TATGTGTGTGTGTGCGGATAAACAGTTGTAAAACGAAGTCTTAACGTCTTCATAGGAAGATATAGACAGTCGGGAACTTTGACCAACTATTATTAGTTAGTGATACATATCCATTATTCTTTATTAATCAGGATTTCCTATGCATCAGCTAACATCACACCTTCATGTCTGTTCACACTGTGAGTATCCAGAATTTTATGATTAGACATATTTTCGAAATTATGGTGTTTAGGACTAGAGTTTAGCTGAAGCACCCTGTCGAACTTATTGCTTTGTCTTCTTTTTGAAGATTGAGCTGTTTTATTCGACTTACTGGAGTTGTCAGGTAACTCGATAGCTACGGATTTAGGATACGCATTCTGTTGCAGATAACGGAGAGTGAAAACACGATGATTCTGGCAATTACAGTTTCTTTGTTAATTTAATGCGACTGCAAAATAATTCAAACGAACTGTCGTCAAGATTTGACACCATGTACATAGAAATTACTGCAAAATTCAGAAATAACACATATAAAGAGTTAATTTCTCAGTCCTTATGGTGTTAATCTAATGTTTTCTCTAGTTAGTTTCCAATTCTTGTTCTTCGACACACGTACATTCAGCGTAATGTGATATAGGCAAATGTGTATACGTAACGCTCTGAATTTTAATCAACCAAAATAATTTTTTTAATAAAAGTAAATAAGTTGTTTCTTAATAACTAATTGAGATTCCTCTGCCTCTCTCTGCTGGGTAAGCCTTACTCATTGCATTCAGGAGGTAAGGGTATCTCTCACAAAGCCGAAAGGGTGAATACGAACATCTGGCGGTTACAACCGTCCTGATGGAGATCCAGGTCTACCTAAGGGAGTTGGAAAACCCTGATTCCAAATCTATGGTTTTATATAGGCTCCAGAATCCGAAAGGAGTGAATGGCATATGAACTTGTCTTGGTTACCGGTAACCATGAGAACGTAGCTCCTATCGCCGTTCTACTGCTCTACCGCTCGAGAGGAGGAGGTTCCTTGAGACAACTGCCTGCTTCGGTCTGTGCAGCGTCCCATACGTCGCAAAAACTATAAGATGTTGTGTGGTGTATCTCTTGGTGCCCATACTATACCAAGTTTATGTTTTAATAGATAAATAATAACTTGGGTCATTGGATTACGTCGCTGACTCCCAGCTAATGGGTTACGGATTCGAATCTCACTGGACCTACTAAGGTTTGAACAGCCAGGTAGTATCAACAGCCGTCACACATTAGGTGTGCCCAATTACCAACTGTATGGATAATTTTCATGATAATACATTAAGTGAAATGTGACTTTTAGGCAAGTCAGTGTTTCAACGTGTACTAATTCCCCAAGAGGTAGTTTTAAGTCCGAACTCAAAGTGATATCAGCTAGAGAACCATTGGATATCAGGGAGTATAGACCAGCTTCTTCGGCTGTACGCAATCAGTAGAAACCGAACCCAGGACTTTACGGCTACACGTCAAGCTCGTAGACCATTTGGTGGCTGGGACTCGATTCATCAATGGCCTGTTCACGAATTCTAATATCTACCAATCAGTAATTTTAGCGCTACCACCAGTCATTGCCGACGGCGTGTATTTGTTCTCACTCCCGACTACATGAACCCTACTGGTCACAACTTCTCCTTAGAATTCCAGGTAACTTCTTCCTGTAACCAGTCACTAGCGAGCATCAGATTAATTTTCAATCAATCCAGGATCAAACTTGATGCGCTTATTCCATTTGATAAGTGACTTATAGAATAATTGCAATAAAAATCACTTTATGATACTTAGTTTATCTATTAAATTTTCTTCTAACTGAACTGTCAACTTGATATATATAATCGAAATTTTCAAAATAATTTCATTCAGAAGGCATTAAGAGCTTCATTTAAGTAAGAGAGAAATCCGAAGACTGTATCAGATAACCAGATCGATATCCGGGAAAATGAAACCAATAGAAGATAGTGAAAGAAACATAATGACCAAACAGGTGAAAGTGTGGTGGCCGGAAAATATTAAATTATATACGTTCATCGTAAAATAGTAAAAACAATGAATTCACAGAAAATCATGGTTGTTACTTGAGATTGAATAAGGACGCCACCTGGTTCCGCGCACAATACAAATGACACTTCTTCCTTCTCAAGCTTCTCGCATTCCACATTTGTCACTAAACTCTGGCTTGTACCGAATCCGTACATCCACATTCGGAGCCTTTGTTCGAATCTGGTTTTCTCTCCACAAGTCCCCTCCGACCGTTGGCATCTCTTACGTGTAGTGAGCATCTGTATGCCCCAAGAAAAGGACTACTTCATCCCTACAATTCTAGGCGTCTATATTTCAAATAACTGTGTTTCATGTGTATATTAATTTATGTGGACTGAATTCCTTTCTACATACACACATGTTTGTATTTGTTCTGTTCTTTTCTACGCGTAAAAACGAACTTAGCCGTTTAGTCAAGAACAAAAGAAACGAAACGATGAGGTGATCATTTCAAAAAGAACTCTACCAGTGAATATCAACCCTGCGACAAAAGCAAAATTCTTGAAAGTGGGGAAACCATCAGCAGGATCAGGTGGAATCCTTCCAGGATTATTAAAAACAGACCGTGGACTTCAACAGGTATCTTCACATCCCTATTGCACAAGGTTTCGAAGAAAAGCAAAGGCGTCTGTCGATTGGAAATTATATTCAGCTGAAATATTACCACCACTCTAAGATTTCATTTCGACTTAGCACATATACCAATATGATTGAATGCCAGCCATCTGGAAGCACCAGTGAACAGTGTAAACATATTTTCAAAAGTTGAAAATTCTGTAGATTTTCAAACGACTCAATATTGGTTTCTTGCTTAATTTGAAAAAATAAATAAAAAAATACTAAAATGAGCTTATTTTTTGCGAGGCAATTGTGAGATGAAAAGGTTAACTTCCTTTCTTTTGTAACACCAATATCACATAACCTACAATTCATTTATCATAATTTCCTTATTTTCTTCCTAACTTCAAGACGGAAGGATTAAGTTGAATTTTCAACTTATAATCAAATATATTTTCGAAAGAAAGGAAGCATTATTTGACCTTAACTACTTTTATTAACTGGAAGATAAAATAAGTAAAATTTTATGAGGAAAATTCAAAAGAAACATCATAAGCAGAGATGTACAGTGTAGAACTTGGACACTGTGGTAGAATGTAATTCCACATAAGTTTATTTGACATAACATACAGCGATACAGTATTAACAGTTGGATAACGTTTCGAGCACCCTTTATTTCTTATAATCATATTAACCAATAGTTTTTAGTTTCTCGAAGACCCCAACTAGGCAGTCCACATCTGCCTATATATGACTGAAGCCAACTGTGAGAGTCTTTGTGGATTGATGCCATGCTTTGTCATAACCATCTCTAATTCTTTTCCAACCTAATCTTATATCAGCCAAGTCATTGATTGTTAGAATATAACTCTACGCACTGAATATCAGTGGATCAGCTTAGGGAATGGAAATGCAGATACCCGATTTTCAAGCAATGAGTCGTAATCATACACTAAACTCTATCTTCTCGTATATGAATAGTTAGAAAATGTCCTTAGCTGTTGTACAACAGTTATAGCTCATTATCTAGTGCAAAAGAAGCACATAGTTGTTTAAGTTCTACTGAAATTCCCTGAAACTCATGGAAAACATCAAAAAATTAGCTACCTTCGATCATAGGTGCGTGCGTTCTATCTCCTGTGTGAAGTAGTATAATAAGGTGAGCAATATTGAGGCTAGGCGTCGAGTGCTAGGTCAGAAGGGGAAATCAATCGATGAGGCTGTGAAATCACATCGACTAAGATGGTTAGGACATGTGTTACGTATGCCTAGTCATCGCCTTCCTCAACGAGCAATGTTAGCTGATATAGGGTCAGGCTGAAAAAAAGCTAGCGGAGGTCAAACCAAAACTTGGCTTCATCAGTCAGTGAAATACACAACAGTTAGTTGAAGCCAAGTAGGAAGATGTAGACTTCTTGGTTGGGGTCCTCGGGACGGTAAAAATCAATGGCTGGAGACAACTGGTGACATGGCTCAAAATCGTTCTCAATGGCCGGCACAGATACATCCACTCCTTGTGACTTATAATTTCCAACAAAACTATATTGTTCTTCGTTATTACTATTCCTTTTGTCTCATATACCTGTCTACTGTCTCTATTTTGCATTTCTTCTAACTTTCTTCTCATGCTTTGTGTGCTACATGGAGTGTGGCGACTCGAATTGCTGCACATCGGTGCAAAGTTCTATGTCGAAAACAGACAGAAACTCATTTTTGTATTCGAAAACCGGATGTTCATGTTTGCCTGAAGAATACCTCAGTGGTAATGTCTCTGACTGAAGGTTCGAACCCGTGAGTAGGTATCACAATTCCTACAAGGCTCCAGATAGGCTTTGCTAACGAATGCCTACAAGCACAAAATCTATGATTGCCTCTAATCATTTAACAGTTAAAACTGCCTGCAAATGAAACCATTTATAGACATATTATTTCATCATATCAGAAGCTTACAAGAAAGTTAATTTATATTTATTTCTATTCAGAAAAATTTCTTTTTAACAAATGCAAAATTTATGAAATTAAAATAAGGATAAAAATTGGAAAAGAAATGATAAAAGAAATTAAAGATAAAAACGAATAAATGAATAATAAATAACAGGGATGAGAAATTGAATTTGTTGATAAGCATGTTCAATATTCAATATGAGAGATATTGAAAGAAAAAATATTGAACGTTAGACATTTCGCTTTCGTCTAAACAAATTATCAACACCTGTAGTATTGATTACAAACGATTTTATTCAACACTGTAGAAATTATAAGTAACTCCAACAGTATTACACCGGTGATGAGCAAAAAGAAAATGAATCATGAAAAAGAAAAAAGGTCAATAAAATGAGGGCATGTAATTAATAAACAGTACAGGAAGAAGATACATATATATATACAAACATAGATCATAAGTGTGCTGATGAGTTTATCTGATCATTGAATAATGCCTGGAAATCACCTTCATAAAGATCACAAGCAGAATTTTCTTCATTATCTTTAGCGTGAATATCTGCACCATACTTTAATAAGACTTTGATAACTTCATCATGACCACAGGAACAAGCTGTAGGTAAGAATATACATATATAATACAATATAAATTTAACTTTATTCACTCTCCTTTCTTACTTCAGCAGCAGAAATTTGCTTTAATTAACAAATAGAATACATTACAGGATAAAATAAAAGTACTACTTTTTTTATTGTGAATCTGTAAAAATATATCATGAATTAATTCAAGCAGTTATTGGGAACATTTAGTTTCTTGATACATAGGTTGTACAGAAAGGCGATTTCATGATATTAGACGGTTGGAGGCAATCGGCCACAGGAAGCTTTGCTTGACCTAAGTTTTGTGCTAGTTGGCACTCACCAGTCAGAAAGGCGTATCTGCAACCGTCTTGAAGGAACTCATGTCCCAACCCTCTGAGAATCGAACCCGCGTCCCCCAGTGAGAACTGCAGTCAGAGACGTTACCACTGAATTATTCGGGCTCACGATTGACCTCTTGTAGGACTATATTGGATATTAGTTAGTAACTACTGCGATGTGTCTAATCCTGTGTTTGGTGCAGACTGAATTGTATCAGTCAGGTTTGCAATGTGGTCACCATTTTAGGTAACTCGCCAACACAGTACACATTGATTAATTAGTTTAAGGAGATTATCCGCTAGGATGATGGAAAATTTACCAAAATGGTAGAAAACAAATGAAGTCAAAGTGCCAAAAAGTTCAATAACAAAGCATCGTGTGGATTGCTGATATGATATTGATGGCGTTAGATCATTCACTGTTGTCGGTAGAAAAAACAGATAGGCAAAATGCTTGCAACTGCAGAGGTTTGTGCAATTAGAATTTATAAACCAGGTCTCTGTGTACAAAGGTAAATGGTGGTCACTCTGAATCTATCATGGTAATACGTTTTACTTATGAACTGTTATTACTATTATTATTCTTTTATTTTACTCTGCCCCTTAGTATTGCTATTCCCTATTCATTTGAAAATATTTTTTATCATTAGCATTATCTCAACCCGTTTTAACACTAGTATTATTATTGTTAATACTATTGGCATTACTATTATTTTCAGTATTATCAAGTTCACAATTTTTGGCATATTCAAGTCCTTTCATTCACTAGTGACTAATTATTTATTGAACCGTAATGCATCTTATTTTAATTTTATATCCCTGTATATAGATCCATCCAACTAAAGAGTTCTACCGAAATTTGATGAATTCATTAAATCTTGCTATATTAACTGTTGATTCTTGTTTCAAGCAATTAATGTTATTATGATTTCCTTGGGTTCCGAGTGGAATATAAGGCTTCAACTGCGCATCTCCGCTTTACCTTGTTCTAAGGCAATCTGTTTTTAGATAGCTCCAAAGCTGCCCAACAGCTTTTATTTCCACTCAACACGATCTCTACTATGTTCAACTCGTTGTTCCCTCTTTTCGGGTTCCACTTCAGGCCACCGTCTGGCGAGTGATTTCACTCAATAGTCTCCCAGTTGTATGTTCAGTCCACTCACATTTCTTTCTGCATATTTGTTGAGCGATAACCTCTTGGTTGGTTCGTTGCTTGCCAGAGTTCATCTGACAAGTTCGTCTTATCTTTGGTATCTGGCGAAGGATGCAACAGTTGATGAAGATCAGAAACCTGTTAGAAATACTTTTCCTGATGCGAGTGCCAAGTTTATGAACAATATATAGGCACTAATTTGACATCAGTGTTATGAATTCAAATCTTGTTCCTTATGTTGACTGCAGGAGATTTTCACACTGATTTCAAATCCTGATCGGCCTTGACATCTTTATCTCTATGGCCTGTAGTTGATACGATGCTAATTAGATAATGATTTATGCTTTTTATTGGTTGTTAACTAGGTATCTTCATCACCTCTGTCTTCTCCATGTTCACTTGAAGTCCTGTCTTCGCTTTCTGCTTCTTTTGCCAACTTGTTATTATGCACCAATATAAACAACAACTACCTCTTTCCTATCTTAACTAATTCTAGTGGGAGATAAAATCCCATATTAGTCTGGTATTACTTGATAGATGATTTTGCTAACATACGACTTTTTTGATGGTATTAGATAGTTGGCCCGACCGAAAGCTGCTACCTTGACGTGGTGGTCGGGCTTGAACACCGCAATGATCTATTCAAGCTATACTGGCTGAGACTTATGTCTCTTGAGGTCTACCATGCCAGGCAGGTTGTTTGGATAGCGGTTAAACAAAAAGCAGCTACCCAATCCAACATCATGTCCAATACAAAATCACAAAATTTCATGCCGGATCGGCCGTGGCCCGGATTAACAACGACCGCGCTTCCTGCTGCCGTGTCACAGGGCAGGAGTGATAAATCTGCTACTGAGACACACCAAACAAAAAGAACAAACAAAAACAGGCCGCGTGTGACCGGCCTCAAGCAGTTGTCCCCTGGGCTCTGCGGTCACGCAACCAACTTCCACGGTGTGGGCAGCCGGGAAGTAACAATCGCCCTCACAATCCGAAATGCACACGAAACCTCTCTATTACTCACTCATCTTTGTCTTCATCTTCATCTCTATCATCTTGCCTTCCTTCCACTGATGCAACTCCTCGACTTGATAGCTCTCCACTTCCTCTCCACTCTGCGTCCACTAAAAACGATGGAAGCCAAAAAACCACCACCGACAGCCTCTTAAAGCCGCGCCACCAATTTCATATAGGAGCTCTTAATGTTAGGACACTTTGCCAAATAGGACAACAAGCATCACTAGCCAAGACCCTGGCATCACGAGCCATTGATGTATGCTGTGTTTCAGAAACACGCATACAAGACCCAAGTGTGGTTATTCACCTAACCCCACCTGGCCAACAGGTTGAATCTGCAAAATTCACCTTGAGGGTGTCAGGAGATGCCACAGCTAGTTCACGAGGATTAGCTGGCGTAGGGATAGCTTTGAGTACTAGGGCAGAAAAGACATTGCTTGACTGGATCCCGGTAGATAGCCGAATGTGTGCTGTCCGCCTGAACGGATCAGTAAGAAGGAGGAAGGACTGCACTACTCGCCGATGCCTTTTCGTAATCTCCGCCTACGCCCCCACTGACTGCAGTTCAGATGAAACGAAGGATGAGTTCTACCAAAAGCTGTCTAGTTTGGTGAGAAAGGCTAAACGCTCAGACATAGTCGTTCTAGCTGGTGACTTTAACGCTCAAGTAGGGAAATTGTGTCAATCTGAGAAGGATGTCGGTGGCACCTATGGAGTCCGTGCCAGCGAACCGACAACGGTGACCGTCTCCTACAGTTCTGCTCTGATAATCATTTGTTTCTTGTAAGCACTAACTTCAAACACAAGGAGAGACACTGTTTGACTTGGAGACCCCCTTCATCAAACCAACGCTGGACACAAATAGACCACATAGCAATAAGCTATCGTTGGCGTGGGTCGGTAGGAGATTGTCGTAGATACCGACCATGCACTGGTCCGCGCTCGGGTGTGCTTACGACTGAACGGACGTAGGAAACAGCTGGCGGTAAAACCATCACGTCCCCAGCTCGATCAGGAAACTAAATCCGTATTTGAGGAAGAACTAGCTAAACACATATCTGTGTTCGACAGCTGTGCTCACCCTGAAGAAGCTTGGAAAAATATCCAGGCAGCCATAGATACAGCTGTAAAAGCTGTGAATAAGGTAAACCCAAAGGTGAGTAAAAACCACTGGATCTCCACCGCCTCATCCGAACTGATAGATGCTAGAAGACTTATTCCGGCGAGCTCCGAATTCAATGAGGAGCGAAAGCTGCACAAGAGGAAACTTACGAAAAGTCTCCGCAAGGACCGTGAACAGTGGTGGGCGACAAAAGCCAAAGAGATGGAGAAAGCTTCGAGGATAGGCAACACCAGGCAACTCTTTGGACTCATCAGGGAAACGGGTGGGAGAAGACAAATCATTAGTGAGACAATCTCGGAAAAAAATGGCACTATAATTAGCTCCAGGATAGACGACTGGATCGTTGGAAAGAGCATTATGAGGAGCAGTTTAATTTGCCCACAGCCACGCTCAACCTTCCGAGCATCCAACACCTCCCTGAATGGGATATAGACACAGGTCCTCCGTCACTAACTGAGGTTACTAAAGCTGTCACCAATCTGAAACTAGGCAAAGCAGCGGGACCTGATGGAATGACTCCAGAGGTATTTAAGTACGGTGGAGACAGCTTACTGTCCGGATTAACTGAGGTACTAGGCAGCGTCTGGGAATCAGAAGAAGTCCCATCGGGTTGGTGTAAGTCACTGATTATCCCCATATACAAGAAGGGAGACAAGTCTTCCTGTGATAATCACAGAGGGATTAGCTTGACTAATATAGTATCTAAAGTCTTAGGCTCAATAATCATGCGTAGACTGAGTGGTGCTCGGGAAGCACAAACACGAGAGAGCCAGGCAGGCTTTAGACCAGGAAGAGGGTGTATTGATCATATCTTCACCCTCCGACAGATTCTAGAACATAGGCATTCCTACCGGCGTCCAACAGTCATTATATTTCTTGACCTAAAGGCAGCATTCGACTCTGTCGATCGGGAAGTTCTCTGGAGATGCTTGGCTGTAAAGGGAATTCCGAGAAAATATATTGCACTGATTAAGGCACTCTACTCGTACTCATACAGCCAGGTGAGGGCTTACGGCGAGCTGTCATCTGAACTGATGACGACCAGTGGTGTCCGTCAAGGATGCCCATTATCTCCTTTTCTATTCAACTTCATCATAGATGTGTTAATGGACTTAACCCTAGGTGACTTCAGCGACTCAGGGATTGACTTGCTACCGGGGAATAATCTCGTTGACTTGGAATATGCAGACGATATAGTCCTTCTAGGCGAAGACGCTGACGAAATGCAGAGTCTTCTAAACACCTTGAGCCGCAATCTACGAATGTTTGGCATGCGATTCGCTCCCGCCAAATGCAAGATGATGTTACAGGACTGGACTACATCGACGCCTAGTTTAAAAATAGGAAGTGAAGTGGTAGAGCACGTTGACCGCTTCACTTATTTGGGAAGTACCATCAGC